CTTTTACCATCAGAGTCAACCGCAAGAGGAAATTCTATAATTTTCTTTTTTCTATTTTTGTTTTCTTTTTCATTTTATTTTTGCTTTTCTTATTTTTTCTTTGAGACAGGGGTCTTTACTTCTATCACCCCAGGCTGGAAGTGCAGTGGTTGCGATCATGGCTCACTGAGGTCTCAACTTCCTGGGCTCATGGGGTGATTCCTCCCACCCTCAGCCTTTCAGGAGGACGCTGGAAGTACAGGTGCACAACATTCACACCTTGGGCTAATTCAGTTTTCTGGGTTTGTTGTTTTTGTAGAGGAGGGATTTCTCCATGTTGGCCCAGCTGGATATATTCTATCTATTTCTATTCTATCCTATTTTTATGACCACAGTCTCAACTCGGGTTGGCCCAGGGGTCTGGAGTGCAGTGGACGATTCTCAGCTCCACTGAACCTTTGTCTGTAAAAATAGATGCTATCTGTGAAAGGATTCTTCTTCGTTGTTCTTCTTTAACTCATAGATAGATGTAAAAAGCAGATGCTTCACCTTTGTGATTTCAGACATTTTAAAAGCTGAGTCAAAATATGGTGTATGTGATCATAAAGGACTTTCATTCTTAGATTTGCTAATATTTCTCACTGTTTGCAGAGACATATATACATTCCAGTAGTTTAAATGGAAACACGTTTGAATCCAGGAACATGTGTGTATCCCACAAACTATGAGTTAGAGTCATAGATTCTATTCTTGGTCACAGATTAATGAGGTCTCTGAATAACTAGATGGGAGTACATTTTATCTTCTCATTTTTTTCTTTGGTTCAATAGGAAGTGTCTTTTCCATAGACAGGTGTCCATATAGGATTTGCATACTCATCTAGCAGAAAATCTCTAACTTAGAAACAGCCCAAATTCCAGAAGAGTCATTTTTCACTGTTTTGACTAGACAGAAGTAGACATTATGGTTCATCTACAGTAGAATGAAGTAATGGAGAAATACTGAATTGTCCTCCAGGAACTTGCATGCAGTCACATGTATTCTAGTTTTACATAATGACATTTGGGGAAACATTTAAGAAATAGGCTGCATTGCCGTTCACTAGCGTTTTTGAAGAAATATTTTTCTCTCTCTAAAGTAATGCAAATATGAAGGATCTAGGCTTATGATTGTAATGTTTCTTAGTTTTTACTTTGAGGTGTACATGGCAAAAGTTAAAATCTCCTTTAGCTGAGTTTAAACTTCAACTACTCAACTTTTCTAAGCCTGGAAGGATATCTACCTAGCTTCATAGTGCCTCTCCCTACATGGAGATTTGAGAAGGAGTGTGAGACTTTCATATATAACTTTATGTTTTTTTGTACCATAAAAATATATGTAAAATCATAATATGACTAAATTTTGCTCGATTTAATTAATTACTCTCAAAGTTTTTGAATTAGAAAATAATAAAATTAATTTTAAAAATCTTCCAAAATAAGAATTGGTATATTTCCTTTAAGAGCTTACATTTCAGTTTTACAGATAGTAAGATTGTCAAACATATTATCTCAAATTTGAAGCTATAATAGTAATTCTTAAGCTTATTATACACTTCTTCCATTGAGTCGACATTACTGTTTTTTCCAGAGATCTACCCGGTTTTCTATACACTGTTTTACTGCATGGGTTTGAAATGATTTATTTCCCAAACACTTAATAAAGGATAAAAGGTAAAAGGCTAAGATGTTATAACAAAAAATCCCCAAAACCCCAACAATATAGTGTCTTAAAGAGCAGAGTCATTTGTTGTACTCTCACATAGCATTCTAAGGAGAGTCTTCCAGCTGGGTTGGTAGCTGTGTCCCATGCTGTCATTCAGCGACCCCGGCTCCTTCTAAGACGTATCTGGGTTGTCGCTAAGCATGGCCTTCATCTCTGTTGTTGAAGCTTGGTCACCACCATGTCCAGTTGTGTGTTGGTGAGGGAGACAGAGTATTGAAGAGAGACACACCATGGTTGTTAGGCCCAGGCCTGAATGTGGCATCTGTCACTTCCTTTCACACTCTATGGGAGAAAACTTAGTTATGTAGTCTTACCTAATAGCAACAACAGAGGGGAGGGGAGGGGCTGGGACATTTGGAGAAAAAAATTGATTTTGCAGGCACTATTCACCAAAAACGAGATTGTTACGGGAAAAAAATGCTGTAATCAAAGTGTAATTTCTTTGTGTGGTGTACTTTGAAACTTTTTGTATTTGTTTGTTAGGGCTGACATACCACAAACTGGGTGGCTTAACTATGATAAATTATCACCTCACAGTTCTGGAGGCTAGAAACCCAAGATCAAGGTGTCAACAGGGTTGGTTCCTTCTGAGGGCTGGAAGGGAGAATCTGTTCCATGACTTTCTTTAGCTTCTCATGGTTTGCTGGTTATCTTTGGTGTTCCTTGGCTTGTGGAAGAATTACCTGGATCTCTGCCTTCATCTTCATATGGCATTTTCCCTGTGTGCTTGTCTCTATGTCCAAATAAAGACACCAATTATATTGGATTAGCAGCCCACCCTTCTCTTGTGTGAGTTCATCTTATTATTACACATCTGCAGTGACCCTATTTCCAAATGTCACATTCTGAGCTCCCAGGCATTAGTACTTCACCATATGACTTTTTGGAGGACAGTTCAAACTATAATACCTTTTAATGGAGAAGATGATTCTGTAGAAAAATTTAATTAGAAAAATTTACTAAGACCGTAGATGTTATTTGTCACATTTTGATACTCAGTCTGATCTATAGATTTTTAACTGCCTAGTCTTTTACACTAAATCTGTTTTTTTAATCACAAGTCATTTCTAAATTGTCTACAATGAGTATATAATTGACATGCAAAAAGAGAAAAAAATAATCTGTAATCTTGCCTTTTTGTTTTTGTTTTTTGTGTTTTTTTGAGATGGAGTCTTGCTCTGTTGCCCAGGCTGGAGTGCAGTGGCATGATCTTGACTCACTGTAACCCCTGCCTCCCGGGTTCAAATGATTCTCCCACCTCAGCCTCCCTAGTAGCTGGGATTACAGGCATGCACCACCACACCCAGCTAATTTTTGTGTTTTTAGTAGAGATGAGCTTTCACCATGTTGACCAGGCTGGTCTTGAACTCCTGACCTCCCGTGATACACCCACCTCAGCCTCCCAAAGTGCTGGGATTACAGGCATGAGCCACGGTGCCCAACCTGTAATCTTGCCTTTGAAAGAGAACTATTTGTACACCCTGTGTCTTTTTTCTGTGTGTATTAAAAATATATATTAAATGATTTTTAATATTCCCTGGTTGATGGGATTACAGATTAAACTATGTATTTGCATTGGATCCATTCCTGATGTTTTTCTGTGTTAAAACTTTGCAAAATTATCTTATAATTGTACTTTTTATTCTTTGGCTCTAACTACACTTACAAAAGGCGGGAATGGATATAACTTTATCAGTATTCTCTGTCCACTCCTAATGGCAACTCTATCTAATGGAAACACATGGAAACAATCTTCCAGGTTTTTTACAGTTCTTTGGGCAGTTGTTCATGGCTTACTCACTGTCTGTCCTATTTCCTTTTAATCAGTTCTTTTTTTCTTTCTCTTGTGAAATGACTATGGTCAGATCTTGGAGGGGAAAATGGGTTA